TGTCTTTATCAGGTTACTAATCTGATGAATCAGGTCTTTGCTCAGTTATTCATTCATTCATTTACTCATTCAAGAAGTGTTGAGAACCTCCAGGAGATAGCACTGAGGATAAAAAGAGTAAGATCAGGTTTCTCTGTAAGGGATTTGACTTGGACAAATCAAATACAAACTGAGGAAATATAATTCATTAATTAAATATTTATTTGGCACCTACTATTTAGCAGGCACTATTGTTCTCTGGTTATGGACTTGCAGCAGTGAATAAACAAGCAGCTCCCATGCCATTGTGGAGTTTATAGTCTAGTGGGGGAACTGATAATAAACAAATAGGTATATAACATTATTTAGAGATAAGTATTTGAAGAAAACTAAGAGATAGGAAGAGATGGGTGAGAGCAATGGAACGTAAATCATACCACCAAGTTGTGTATCACTGAGTTAAAGCAGCTGGTCTCTTGTACCCTTGTGTGAAAAGCCATTGGTGTCTCTAGTCAGCATAGAGCAATTCTCAAGAAGTGGGGGCAGCTATGAGCCATTAACACCTGGAGGATGGATGTACTGATACTGTAATGGAGATCTGTGTGGGACATCATAGTGTCCACTAAACCAGGATATCTTCCTCCCCCTCCCAATACATTTTAAATACACACACACACACACACACACACACACATATGTATATTGATTTCAGAGAGGAAGGGAGAGAGATAGAAACATCAATGATAAGAGAGAATTATTGATCAGCTGCCTCCTGCACACCCCCTACTGAGTAACAAGCCTGCAACCTGGCCATGTGCCCTTGACTGGAATCGAACCCAGGACCCGTTAGTCCCCAGGCTCTATCTACTGAGCAAAACCAGCTTTGGCCCCCTCCCCATAAGTTTTTTCATAATTTTCTTGGTGCATTTGCAGACAAATGCCAATAAGTAACAGTCCTTTTTTTTTTTAAACTCACTAGATTAAGGTAAAATGTATTAAAATATGTGATAGTGCCACAAAAGAAGCATTATACATATTTTTAAAAACAAGAACTAAATGAAATAATACTTCTCAGACTTTTAATTTGGATCATTAGATTTAGAAATTTCATAGTCTTAGTTAAGCTTTAGGTAGATTTACTGTGTTCCCTATTTAAGAATAGGCACTGAGGAGGAACACAAAGAGCATAGGTTCAAGTACGGCCTTAAGCATTTATTACCTTAAAACTGTGGTCATGCTATCACATTTCTTTACCTCAGCTTCCTTCTCCATAAAATGAAGCAAATACCACCCATCCTAACGTGCTTTTGACGAGGACTAAATGAGATCCTATATGTAGAATATTTTTTTCTCACTTGTATCCACATAGAGATTCTGATATATAAGAAAATAGTTCTTTATCATCTTCTAAGAAAATACAAATTGAAGAGTTATAAGATTTAGTACTAAAATTTTATGTTAAGGATAAATATTAAAAACTCTTCTCACAAAAAAAATTCTGTAACTTTGTATGGTGACGGATGTTAACTAGACATTGTGGTAATCATTTTGCAATGTATAAATATCAAGCATATTGTACACATGAAACTAAAGTAATGTTGTATGTCAGTTACACCTCAATAAAAAGATAAATTTTATGATATATTTAAAATTATGAAGTATATTTCATATATATTCTTACATATAATACTCAAATATTTCAAATATTAGTGAAGTATATACTTACCAAACTTAGAATTTTTTTTCTCAGTCTCATAAAGTAAAATTAAGGGGAAAAAATTGGAATAGTTCTCAAGATGAATCTCTAAAAGAAATATTTAATAAATGCTTGAAATGTTCTTTTTAGGATTCATTGCCATATTTATCTTTACTGATAAAAAGGGTAAGTTATTTTTTGGTTTTCACCTTAGTCTTTATGTTTTACATTATATCTTTTGATCTTGCTAAATTCACTTAATTCCAATAGTTTATAAATTCTTTTAGGTTTTCCAAGTAAATCATATTGTCTGTAAAAGTGGCATTTTTTAATTTTCTTTCCATTCTTTATACTTTCTGTTTATGTTCTTAGCGTTTTATACTGGCTAAGACCTCTAGGACCATGTTGAATGCAAATCACATTCTTCAATCTTGGGATATATTTTCAATTATTCACCATCAAGTACGATGTTTGCTATTATAGTTGTTTTTTTTAAACATATTTTTATTGATTTCAGAGAAGAAGGGAGAGGGAGGGAGACATAGAAACTTCAATGATGAGAGAGAATCATTGATTGGCTGCCTCCTGCACGTCCCACTCTGGGGATTGGGCCCACAACCCAGGCATATGCCCTGGCTGGGAATCAAACTGTGACTTCCTGGTTCATAGGTCAATGCTCAATCACTGACCTATGCTGAAAGATACACTTTTGTAATATTAAGGAACTTCTCTTTGATTTCTTATTTTGAACTAGTTTTTAAAAAAATCATAAATGAATGTTAAATGTTATCAATTGCTTTTGCTTCATCTATTGATGATTTCTCTTGTTGATTTGGTAAATTTTATTAATTTTATGCATTAAATTATTTTTGCATTTCTGGATTAAACTCCCACTTAGACCTGATCAATGTATTGATAGATGTGATTTTTGCCAATATTTTACTTAGGATTTTTGCATCTGTGTCAACAGAGAGGTCTATAATATTTCTTTCTTGGACCTTGTGTCTTTTGTTATCAAGCTTATGCTTTTTTTTAGAAAACACATTTGGAAATATTCTCTATTTTTCTACTCTCTGGAACAATTTGTGCAAGATTGATATTATTTCTTTCTTAATCGCTGGTAGAATGTATTGTTGAAATCATCTGGGCCAAGAGTTTCCACTGTGGGAGTGTGTTTTTACATTACATAAACAATTTTATTTCACATATACATATCCACTAGCTGGAATCTACTGTTAACATTTTTCTATGATTGCTTTATTACATAAATAGTCTTTTAGTGGAGTGCGTATTTAACATAATAATAGATAATTTTGAGTTTAAAGCTACCAGCTTACTATTTGTTTTATATTTTATCCACATGTACTCTACTTTTTCTCTCAATTCTTACCTTCTTTGATTCAATCAGATATTTTAACTATTCTTTTTGTCACCTTTATTAGCTTTTAACAGCTATCCTAGAAATTACTACATGAAGTTCGAGTTATCATAGTGTAGTGTAAAATTGTTACTTCTGCCACTTTCTGCACAATGCAGGTATCTTAGAAACTTTAATTCAATTTACCCCACTTCTGAATTTTTTGTTATTGTTGTCATATATTTTAAACCTACATTTGTTTTAAACTTAAGCTAGTAATATTATTTTTACAGTCATCGTTTATTCATATTTGTCAACATATTTACCTTTACCATGGCTCTTTCTTTTTGCATTCCTATGGTGTTTTTTTCTTGTATCCTTTTTCTTCTGTTGGAAGAACTCCCTTTTTGTATTTCTTTTACAGATAAATTATTTGAATTTTTTTCTGAAATCACTTTTATTTCATTTTCAGACATTTTTAACTGTGAATAAGTTTTTTTGATTGGCATCTATTTCTTTCAGAATTTTTAAGAGGTCATTCAATTGTCTTTTGCCATTCATCATGACTGTTGACAGTTATCTTTCAGTATACTGATTCTTGCTTCTTTAAATGTGTTTATTTTTTCTTCTGGCTGTTTAAAGATGTGACTGTATGTCTCTCATCAATGTTAAAAAAATTTTGGTTTTTACCACTGCAAATGTTTCTTTCTTATTTTCTCTCTCTTTCTGGAATTTCAATGATATGGATGTTAGAACCCTTCAATGGATTTCATATGCCCCTTACACTGGTTTCTATAAATTCAACTGTTATCTCTGCTTTGGTTTGGATATTTTCTGTTAATCTTTGTTTTAGTTGATATTTACTCCGTTCAATCTGCTTGAGACAGCAAGTACTGACAACACTTTGGGGAAATTTTGCTCTGAAGAGCAAGGATATAGGAGCAGTACTTGAACCATGTTGGAATAAAGAGAGGGGTTTGTTTGTTTGTATTTGGTTAGGACATACTAGCATGGTTATGTTATTATTGGAATGACTCAGTACAGACAAAAATTGAGTGAGAAAGAAAAGGAAGATTATTTTTGGATAAAAGTCTTTGAGAACATGGGAGAGGACAAAGCACAATTGGAAGGATTTTTCTTTGATAGGAGTGGGACATAAAGAGGAAAGGCACTGATTCATGTATATCAGTAGTCTTGTGAGGTGGAATTCTGGCCTGACCAATGGAAAATCTGCAGCAGCTTTAAGTTTCTAGACTCTTAAACCTTTGGGTGTCTGTATTGGGCATATGGGAAAATGGTCCAAGAAATGGAGAGTCAAACGAAAAACAGTAGACTGTATTTATAGCAACCTAATTCTGTTTTCTGTTTCTGTGTACCCTCAGTGACAGCTACCTTTATCTTTTTCTTTTTTAAGTTATGTTTTTATTGATTTCAGAGAGAGAGATAGAAACATCGATCTGCTGCCTCCTGCACACCCCTACTGGGGATTGAGCCTGCACCTGGGCATGTGCCCTGAAGGGCAGTTGAACTGGTCACCTCCTGGGGCAAAGCTCAACCAACTGAGCCACACTGGCCAGGGTGCTACCTTTATCTCTTAGGGTACTCAAAGTACTATGATATTCTTGTAAGGAAATGTTTATACATTAAATTAATATTAATTAATTAAATGTTTTTGTCATTTATAATTTTTGTACTATGTTTTTAAACATAGTTAATTCCTTATAGTGCATTCTAAAATATAAGCATAACCAATGGACGCAAGACACAGGGCTGGGGGTGGGGCGGTGAGGGCATGTACTGGGGGGTAGGGGAGGCCGGGGAAGGTCAATGGGAAAAAAAGGAAAAAAAGGAGACCTATGTATTACTATTTGTAATACTTTAAACAATAAAAAAATTAAAAAAATTCTGAATTTTGAGTGGAAAATCGAGTTTCCTAATGTATTTTCCCACATTTTATTTTGTAGTTTTGTGAGTACCAGAATAGCACAACCATGTTTCGGAATAGTCTCAAGATGCTTCTTACTGGAGGGAAATCAAGTCGTAAAAACAGATCAAGTGGTAAGTGACTAGACTACATTTATTTGGTTTGATATTTTAGAAAAACAAGTTCTTTCATTTAATAAGCAATTAATTTGTTTATTAAATGGCTTATTTAATTTAGAAAAAAAGAAAGTTTACATTCCTATAGGCTGTTATACTCTACTAGAGGCCTGGTGCACAGATTCGTGCACTGGTGGCGTCCCTCAGGCTGGCCTGTGCCCTCTCACAATCCAGGACTCCCTGGAGGATGTCAGACTGCTGATTTCAGCCCAGTCCCCGCAGGCCAGGCTGAGGGACCCCACCAGGGCCTCTAGTATGCATATAAGATCTTTGGTTAATCTCTTCTTGCCCTCCCCCCTTCCCTCTGAGATTCATCAGTCTGTTCCATGTTTTCATTCCTGTGCATTGAGCATCTGCCCCCGGTGGTCAGTGCATGACATAGCTACCAGTCAAACAGTCTTAGCATATCATTAGCATATTATGCTTTGATTTGTTGTTTGGTTGTTCTGCCATTCAGTCTATTTGCATATTACCCTTCCATTATATAGGACTAGAGGCCCTGTGCACAAAAATTTGTGCACTCGGGGTGGGGAGAGGAGGTCCCTCAGCCCAGCCTGTGCCCTCTTGCAGTCTGGGACCCCTCGGAAGATAACGACCTGCTGGCTTAGGCCTGCTCCCAGGTGGCAGAGGGCAGGCCCAATCTCTAGGTGCAGCCCGTGGTCTGGCTCTCAGCCAATTGGGGAGTTGGGGCACCACGCCCTGTCAC